TGCGCTTTTGCTATTGTGGGGTGAGGACGGTTCACCTGACCTCTCCGATTGTTGCAGTCAGTCGTTGCCTGGTGCTGGCTGTGTGAGGGAGGGCGTTGTTTCTTGTGTCGGCGACATGGGGACCCCACTACCCCTTGTTCGCCGGACTGAAACGAGTGGGCTTTAATTTTCTGGCCGAGCGTCATGCCCTACACTTGAGATTGTGTTGCTGGATATGCCACAAGTTCGTGTGGCAGACGTGTACGGACTCCAGTTGTTAACGACCCACCAAGCACTTGTGAAGTTTAGCTCTGCGGCAGTTTATCGGGTCTCCGTGGCAAGCTATGATGGGCGGACATTGATGCTCCCTGGGAACGGTGGTACCGTCACTATTTCAGACCGCTGTTGTGCTGTAACTTATGTGGCGCTGCATTGTATGCCTTTTGAATTCTCCGAGGCCCTGCTACGGAGGTATTTTTGCCAGTTTGGAACGGTGATTTCCCTCCGCGTGAACTCCGTCTCTTCCAGCAGGTGGCGTGGGGTCTCCTGTGGTACTCGGACTCTCGCCTTGAGTCTCAAGTTCCCGGTTCCCTCCAGTTACCTTGATGGAGTTCACTCTGCAGTAGTTCTATGCAGGGCAACCACGCTCCTGTTTTCGTTGTGGCCTTGAGGGGCACCTGGCAGCCGCTTGCACTGGGGTCGTAGCTGCACCTGTTAATCTGTTCCGAGAAGAGGACTTTCCCCCGTTGGTGGCGCAGGACCTGTCGCCTCGTGATGGAGTAGGTGGGGAGTTTCCCCTGCCACCTGCTGACCCGGTGGTGGTTCTGAGTTCCTCGGTTGCTGGCCCGGCGTGTGTGGATGGTGGTGTCCATGACGAGGTGGTGGTGTGTGCAGCTCCGCCCCCACAGTCTGTCTCTTCACTTCCAACAGCTTCTGCATCTGTTCCAGCCTCTGCTCCTCTGTCGCCTACGACGTCCTGCAGATTCCCTCACCTGTGGTGTGTTACGTACTCCTAGCAGAATACGTATATAAATTTAAAATAGCATTTTTGTTCTATTATATCATTGCCTGTATATGTACACACATTGTGTTTTTGGTAAATTATCGTGTGGTGTGGCAGCGTCAGTGGAGACAGGAGCGCGGTTGCTTTGCACACGTCTATTACCTGTTAAATTCGGAAGCTGGACCTGTTCAGTTGAGAGTTCCAGATGTCACTTTTATTTAGTTTAGGTAATTGTTTATTGTCTGCAATTAAACAGGTGGCATTATACTTATATATTTTGTAAGTAACTATTATCTGTAATTTGCAGTCTTATGTGTTTTGAGAACAAGTGGTTGTTCAATTAGTTTTAAATATTAAAAAGTCCTTAGTTTCCATCCCTCATCCTGGGATGAGGCAGACGGGAGGTGAGAATTTGGGTAGCGACAGAGCGAGAGTTCAGTAGCTGATACAGGACCAGGAGAGTAACATGTGGGAGATAAGTCTGTTTTACTTGTTGTTGTGTCATGTAGTAGATTTTTATTCTGGGAGAGACAATATTTGATGTTTGCTTTAATAGTGACCCACTGTTCATATATACAATATTGAGATGTATATGAAATATATATATATATATTAAAATGCATACGTATATTTCTTCAGTCCTAAAGGAAGATTTTTATTTATGTGCTCATTACTTATCAAGGGGTTATACTGGTGACCCGCTCTTGAGAACAGCAGTTTTCTCGTATCCCTAGACGTAATTAAAGCTTGGCTGCTGTAGGGTCACGAGCCGTAACGAACGATAGGTAACATGTGGTGTTCCCTCCTCCTCCGCCGGCCGCACCTGTTTTTTCTCCTGTCTCCTCTGTGGGTGGCGGTCTCGTCCTCATGTCGTTGAGGCTGAAATTCAGCGGGGTCGTGCTCCCCCGGTTGTGGGGCAGCCTGCCCCTCACTCTTCTCGGGTGCCTCCTGCAGGGGGTGACAACTCCGATGATCAACGGCCCGTCCCCACCCCCAATGTTCATGTACGGATACGGGTGCTTCGCCTCCTCGTACGTGAGCTGAGGAATACTCGTCTGTGGAGTGAGAGGTTGGTGCGTCTGGTGCTGGTGTTTTCCGGTGGATGGTGTGGCTCCTGCTGTAGGGGTGGGGGTCGGTGTGGTGCCTGTGGCTCTTGCTTCGGGTGCGTCGCCCACGTCGGATGGTTCCGGTTATCGTGGGGGGTGGTTCCCCCTTGCAAGGTTGAGGGTGAGTGTGGCGACCTGGTGGTGGTGCTGAAGAAAGCTGCTCACTCTGAAAGTTCCGTGCCCCCTCCCCCATCCCATATTTCGTCGGCGATGCTTTTTCCCACCTCTCGAGTCTACGGCCGTTTCAGCTGTGTCACCTGCTTTGTCGGAGGGGGTGTTGCCACCTCGGCATCCTCTGTCTGCTGTTCCGGTATCTCCTGCTTCCACGGTAAAGGTGTTCCTACCTCGTTCTTCGTTTTCCGTGTCCTCTGGTTAGGGCGTTCGCTTCCGCCAGATTTGTTGGTCCCTGAGTATATGCCGTACCCGCGGCGTCGTGAAGGCGTTTCCCCTACCGAGAAGGAGTATTTGATATGGGAGACTTATAAGCGGAAGTATCCATCGAGACTGTTCCCTGAGAAATATGATATCTGATTACTTGTTGTGGTGTTGCTTATGCTTGGCGTGGTTGTGGGGTGGTTTACAACTGCTTTATTCATTTAAATTAAGGTAATAAATACCAACCAAATTTATGTCAAATAATATAAAATTAATAACCACTCCTTCCGGAAATTTAATAAATTTTTATCCCCATACGAACGCGGGCTCCCGGGAGGAGGGGAGACTCATTACTTCTGGAGGAGCGGCGCGTGTGCAGCCGTGCTGGCTCTCCTCGTGGGTTAACGAGACTCATGTTACCACTGAGAGATGATCGGGTCTGCCAAATATGCCACAAATATAGACAAGAAAAAGAGGCGATATTTACTACGTACAAAATAGTAACGGGAATCGACAAAATTGTTAAGGAAAAATTCCTGAGATCTGGAACTTCAAGAATAAACGGTTTAAAAAAATAACTAAACAAAACTATTCAAGATATATAAGAAAATTCACTTCCACAGTGATAGACGGTTGGAACAAGCAAAGTGTAAAAGTGGTGGAGGCCTAAACCATCCGTAGTTTCAAAGTGTTATTCGACAAAGAGTACTGGGAAGACGGGACATCACGAGCTTGACTATCATCCCATAACTACACTTATATAATTAAACTTTAGTAATTACCTGAAATTTAGTTTAGAAAAGAAATTTAAGCAAGGAAATTGTATTTTGTCCAATAATAAATTAAAAATATGCATCTATTATATGCGTATCATACATTTTTAACAATTGTTTTTCCTTTAATATCAAATCATATAACTGCGTCTACTGGTCTGTCTCACATGCTCATCCCCCTCTGTACAGCCAGCAAAGATTCAGATGCCATGTGAACTTATATTAGCCAATTAAACAGTTTTTTGTTAAACACAAATAAGGACATTCAAAGTATAAAATCGTATTGGTATGTAACCACTATGACGTTCATAATGAAATAAAAAAATATATAATTGCAGTTCAACCACTGCAAATTACCTCAAGGCCATCATTACCTAGCAAAAATTTGCTATCAGAACTTAAACAAACTCTGTCTTCAGACACCACAGAGCCTCTTTGTTTATATCCCTAAACATGCTAAACACTCACTCTCTCCAGACATTCTCTTGTGCTATTTACATGTACAAACTTTATTCCTAACTGCTAATCCTAATGTGAAACTCTTCCAGGATAGATGTAATAGAATCTATGAGCACCACATCAGAAAAAAATATCCGATATTCTTAGAGTGAGACTAAAACTGTGGAAACACTATGCAAATAAAAGGACTCAGTCCAAGGAAGTCACTCTCTAATGAATTAAATTGTTCAACTTATTGTTTATTCAGAAGTAAAACCAAAAATTACCCAATTTCATCTCAGTTTCCAACCTTCTGCTCCAAACTCACATTGTATCTTGTACCCAATTTTTATACTTAACACCTGCAACTTCACCAGTATAATTAATGCAATCAGATTATATTGTTATTATGTTTAACTCATGTTCTGCTACAATGTTACACCTAGAATACTTTCATCTTTATCAGTTAGCTTATGGACCTGCCAGAAATGCTATGCATGTTAGAGGCTTTGCAAGAATGTAATGCTTAAAGATCTATGTAATGTACTCTCATCCCAATATATATAAATAATAAAAAATACATAAATGAAAGAAGCCGTAAAGCTTGGCTTTACCTATAATAATTAAATTTATAATATGTCATTTAATTTTATGTCCAAGATACGTTAAAAATATAAATCTTTTATGTCTCAAGAGGGGCATAAATACAAGCTACAATAAAAACCTTTATTACTAATATATCTCAAATTTATGCAAAAATATGTACCTGACCATTGGTCGTAGGGTTATAAACTCAGGGAACCGTCTACCCGCTGACCACACACAGCACCGCTCCTGTGCCAGGTAAGTTCACTACGGGCTCACCATAGTCCGTGCCACTTGCCCCGCTCCTGTGCCAGGTAAGTTCACTACGGGATCACCATAGTCCGGGCTACTTGCCCCGCTCCTGTGCCAGGTAAGTTCACTACGGGCTCACCATAGTCCGTGCCACTTGCCCCGCTCCTGTGCCAGGTAAGTTACGGACTCACCATAGCCCGTGCTACTTGGAACTTGCTCCGAGTAGTTGAATCTATAACAACGTCGTCTACCCGCTGAAACTGTTAGGGCCAAAACTCTGTAGAACTTTAAAATTCAGCTAGAAAAAGATCATCAGAACAAATGGGAAGGAGGGGACTTTTAACAAGCCGCCGGCTTCCGGTCCTTAATCGAGGCCACTAGAGTGTTTGTGGCCCTCGGGTAAATTCAGGTAAATATATACAGAAATGTCATCGCAGCCCGTGTCTCGGCCCTCGGAGCACCAACTCTACACTCTGATAAATTCAGTAATGAACCGAGATCTGATACTAATGATTACATTTTTATGTGCCATCTGGACGACAGAGTTATAACAGTTATGAACCCCTTCATGGGTAATATAACTTACCAGAGTGCGAAGATACATGTTTAATGAGACTTTCTTGGCGTCCGTTCATTTACACGGAGTCAACGAAAGCCTCGCAATAGCTCTTAGAATTGTTTAGGTAAAAACAAAAAATTAAATTATAATTAAAAATTATCTGTTTACTACAATGTTGGCGCTGACTGTAGAAGTTGAGAAAACATAAATTTACTACGAAAAAACTTTGCATAATTAGGTGGCAGGTGGCGGCCAATGAGCCAGCATTGGAATTGGCTAAACCTGTAAGATGAACAATGTTACCTTGGCTCTGATTGGCCTAACGAAAAGAGTTTGTAACATCTGTTGATTCTCAAGTTAGCAACATCAAAATGCCTAATTATTGCATACGAATATCTTTCTGAATCTTTCGGAAGGGTCTTCTTACTCAATACTTAAGAACCTTGGTAACAGCGACGTAGAAAGGAATACATGGCGCTTAGTGAATCTATGTTAGGTTCTCTATTTGTGGGTCCTCGGTTAGGTTCGACCAATTCATTGCATCAGTTCAGTGATTTTGGAAACGCTAGAGATTAGTTACTCATGGGTAATCTCGCTGGATGATATCGTCAGTAGGTGTGGACATTCTCCACAGCCTCACGACACTCCTGTAACGAGTCCCAGCCTGCGATCTATTAAAGCTGGAGACGAAAGGCTTTTTATTGATCCAGATTAAGAGAGTTAGTTGCAGTTTACTAAAGATGCCTTAGTATAATGCTAAGGCATTTATTACAACCAACAAACATATTGGTAAATAATCACTGATTAAATTAACAAATTAAATTTCTCCCACACACTGGCCAGGGCTCATGGGAGTCACCATATTAGTGCTGATCAACACGACACAACATGCTGGCTGCTGCGCCTCGCCTCTCCTCAAGTGTTTTATAATTTCAAGGAACTATTAGCTTTATTTCTTTCAGAACTAGCCAGTGATGTTCTAGAGACTAGAACAAACATTAACAAGTGCCACTACAAGCTATAAATATTACCAGTGCCGTATATTGCCCTGGGTGACCACCACCACGTGTGGCCAGCCCAGCAACCACAAAATACTGCGCTCACTCTTCACCAACGAATATAGGGCCGGCTAAGGACGTCGACCGGAGCACCCGGGAACCTTTAACCAAGTATCGTTGCGACAGTTCGGTATTGTTGAAATTGACGTCAATTCATTTACATTTGTCATTAACTATTTTTCCCTGGGTTCACCATTAAACTGTGGGGTCAAACTTTATTTTTCTCAATAAACAACATCCACTCTAAAAAATATTCGGAATTAATAGTTTAAGTTAACAGTTCCTTAGGTTAATGGATAAGCTGTGGGGGATCTTGACCCCAAAGCAAAGCGAACTTCAGACTGCATGAGGGGGAGTACACTAGCAAACCCAGCTACGATATCAGTTGTTTTATTGTAAATTTTCAGAATAATGAGCATAGTTTGCTAATTAAATTATATAGAGTAGTAAGTGCCGTTTGTTTTTTTTATATTATAGAGTAATAAGTGTAGTTAGTTTTCTAAATTATTGAGTAATTATGCAGTGGTTTTGAATTAATTTAAACTCAATTAGGAGTTTCTTGCTGTAAATTTAATTTATATTCTGCATCAAGAAAAGACTCGGGGAAGAAAGGTGAAAAGTAAAATCCCACAGTTGGTGATCTTTGATCATAACATTCTACACCATAGGTAGAGTATATAACTATATAATAATAATAATAATAATTTTATTTAGGCAAAGGTACATACATAAAGAGATTTTACAAAGTTTGTTGGCTTTATAGATAGAGCTAGTACATACAATGCCTAAAGCCACTATTACGCAAAGCGTTTCGGGCAGCTATACTATATTAGAGTATATTCTACAGTATATAACTATACCGGATTAGCTCTTTTTGATCAACATTTATCAAAATTATTTTTATTGGAAACTTTCCTATGGCAGTATCTAATATGCATAACTTTATTATATGCCTAAATTTCAACCATGATGCTTCTCTTCTGCGTTAACAGGAAACATTCACAAACGGCTTATGCCCAGGAATCTAACCCGGGACCATTCTGTCGTGAGCCGACTGCTTTGATCCAACCCGTCCTCGCAAATTCGTATAGTCAATATTGAATTATTAAATATGTGCATATGTGACATACTTAACATAATAGTTTCTCTTGAAAAGATTCATAGAAAACACCGACCTTACCTAACCTTCTTAGTATGTTAAGATAAGCATCTTATTGCTTCGTAATTACAATTATTACCTAACCTATACCTATAATAGGTTAAGTAACAGTTGTAATTATGAAGCTATAAGATGCTTATTTTAACATAATAAGTAGGTTAGGTAAGGTCGGTGTTTTCTATGAAGCTTTTCAAGGGAAACTATTATGTTTAGTATGTCACCTATGCACGTAACTAATAAGTCAATATTGACTATACGAATTTGCGAGGACGGGTTGTTTGATCACTAGCCAACAGGTCATCTGGATGTGTTTCTTGAGAAGCCGCGGCTACCTTGTTAGACACACTTCTGACCCTCGAAACTTAGCAAAGCTAATTAGGTTCATATTAAAAGTTAGCGGTGATCTCGGGCTACCGTTGGCAGCGAGGCACCCCACCACACACCAACAGCCGCTCTGCTCTCGCGGGACTTCATGTTAAACTAACCACAAGGTTTATATTAGTGCCGCCTCCACCCACTTTGTTGGTAAACATTTACAGCGACGACCACGAGAATCTTTACCCAGAGCCAGTATAGTATTATGAAGTCAATGACGTCACAATTTGTCCACAGTAT